GGGTGTGCATGTGTACGTGTGAGGACGAGTGGATTGCTTAGTTGGGTTTGGGTAGTAAGGATGAGGTTATGATTTGTTGTATATTTTAACCGATTTCAGTCAATTTTGGTTATGTTTTTGTCGTAATGTATTAAGTTAATCAAATTGTTATTACGATGAGAAAGAATTGTTTTTTGAAGAATTTGTTGTATTGTTTTGATATTGAATGTAATCTAAATAAATAATTACGGGGAAAAAGTATGTGCGTGTGTGTGTGTTAATTTTCTTTTTTTCAAACATGTTTCCATATTATGAAATAACCCGGGTGTGGAACGGACCTTTAACGTCACCATCCGAAAGACGTGACTCAGTTTCGCAAACCCGGTTCCTATTAGAGACAGTACGTAGACGAAGTCAGAGAACACAGACATTACCAACTCACATCACTAATAAGGGCACTGATAATGATGACACTTAACAATAGGCCTATTTACTTTTGACAGGTATTCATCTCATATTTAATTTATACAAAACTTAATAACAGTACTACTTTGATGTATTTCAGGAATAGGTCTATACAAAATAGTAAAATACAAATACATTTACATCATATCTTGAGAAAAGAAATACATGAAGTACTGATGAAAATTCTTACAATTCATCTCGGGAGTATCAAAATACAAATGCATATAAACCTCTAATACAGTACCTTTAGAAGACAAACAAAATATGTTATAATTGTCGTCTACTTATAGATATCTTTTAGAAATTTGCAATCACATTTCACATATATATACTTCAGTATGTTTAAAGAAGAACCTACTATACTTAGGGCCTTTATGTTTTTCATCTCAGGTACGATATTTTGTTCAGATATCCTGACGATTAACAATCAATGACATGTTTTGGATTCAGTTTTATCAAACTTATAGACATTGTGCAAGATATAAAGCTTATTTTGCGTTTACATGAAAATAAAATTCACTTGGTAAAGTGAATGACTCAATGAGGATTATTGAAAGAGCTCCAGAAATATCATTATCGTGTGCAATTATACTTGCTAGCATTAAAAAGGCTCCGTCAGATATATCGCAGCAAAATCGTGTTTAAAATAATATTCTTATGATGGTGACGGAAAGTGTCAATACGCTTTCCATTTCTGTATTGTTTAGCAAAGAGCTCAATACAGTGGCGGATCCAGGTGGAGGGAGGGGGGCAGCGATTTTTCAAATTTTCGAGGGCCCCCAAAAAATTAGTGCTCACTACCCCCCCCCCCCCCCCCCCTCCCCGTACTGAGCGAAATTTTGGCCGGCACGATTTTCAAATTACATCACACTAAATTTCAAATTGATTTCAAATTTGGCCCCCCCCCCCCCCCCCCCCCCCCCATTTACAAATCCTGGATTTGCGCCTGGCTCAAAGAACAAGCCTTTACCTGTTAAATAGTTGGAATGCACATGCATCCAACATTTTATATTAAGGATATATTGACTGCTTTGAGAGGCATAGTGGTTTCTATAGGGTCAAGGGAAACTCACAACCTGCTATGACCCCCAGGCGCTTGCGCCGCGGGGTCATAGCAGGTTGTGAGTTTCCCGAGACCCTATAGAAACAACTATGCCTCGAATATTAAAAGCAGTCAATATATATTTTATATACCGAAAAAAAGGAAAATGTTGACTCACCCATTTAGGTTTCCATCTCTTTGAAGTCATGAATATTAACACCAACAATAACTTGTGTACAGTATGAAATCCAACAAGCTGTGCTCCAGTAGAACAGGGAATACCAAACACGTTTACACGAACAGTAACTTTTGTACAGGATGATATCACCAACAAGCTGTGCTCCAGTAGAACAGTAGAACAGTAGAACATGAACAGTAACTTTATAAATTCACAAATTCGCAACATATTTACACAGATGTGCGTCTAGTCTACTTGTTGTAGATGTTTACAACACAGTTTTGTATGTTAAATGTTGGGGCTTGGACTTGCTGGCTTGAAACATGGGCATGACTACTAGCAGTGATGTTACATACACGTGGGAAGATCTCTGGATTATCTGTGATCTCATTCATCATTAGATTTAATATAAGTCACGGAGTTCCTGGCTTTCACTTCGCTCACTTGCACTTGCAGTCGTGGCACCAGTGGATGTTGCTGATGATTCGTCGCCTGAATGCAGCGACCAAAATCGAATTGCACTCAAACACCGTTAACGGTATTGCGCATCGGTCATCGCACAAAAGAAACTTATACGGTAACACGTAAACCAAAATGGGGATCGCAGCAAAATGACGTCACGTTTCACAGCCATGGAAAAAGTGCTATGAAAAATGGATATAAACCGGTAGAGCCGGGAAAAATGACTATGAATTTCAATTAGCGGGCATGGTTAAGAACATGACTGCATTTTCAACCAATCAGAAGACAGGATTAGTAAAGAATCTTAAAATGAGGTATATAAATTGGCATACATGTATACAGATAGTATTTATGACGGACAGAAGAGTACACTATGAAGAGGATGAAATAATTTCAGCACACACACTTTTGAAAGACTGAAATATATCAAAGGAAATGAAAATGGAAGGTCGTTATTTACAAAATTAAAGTCTTTCGGCACAATAATCTTTGAAGGAATTCTCACAAGTATCAATAACACATATGAGAGGGCCTTCGGTCCTGAAAAGCGCTATATAAGAATTAGCTATTAGTATTATATAAATATATTCATTTGACTGTTTGACATGATATATGGATAATATGACATTGTAATTTACACGTTTGAAATACACAGATCATAATATACAAAATAAAAAATACTTTGGGATATTTCTCCTTGTAATTACATGTAAAAACAAGAAATTTCTTCATGGAATATGTCAAAATGTATACATTTCACTGTTGTACATGATATATGGATAATAGGACATTTTAATTTACACGTTTGAAATACACAGATCATAATCTACAAAATAGAAAACACTTTGGAATATTTCAAAATAAAACAAAGCTTGTTCTTGCATTCATTTATATCTGAAAACTCAACATCATATCTGCAAACATTGCATTTTGATGATTTATGTGGTGGCAATTTCAGTACCTTATTGATAATGCCTGATTGTAATCATGCTAAGTACAGAAGAGGGTAATCAACATTTGGCACATTTAGATAGGCAATACGTAGAACTATTAATAACAATGAAAGAGCTTTTAGGTAGATAATTTCATCACTGCAGAGTATTCTGTAACAATTCGCAATCATATTTCACACTTGACATATATATATTACAGTATTTCATGTACAAAGAAGAATAACTACTTTGGGCCTTTGCTCTTCATCTCAGGTCGATATTTTGTTGTGATATCCTCACGATTAAAAATTAATGACATGTTTGGGATTCAGCTTTATAAAACAAAATTCCCAAAATGGAGGGACTTATAATAATCAGTCTCTTTTCCCTAACGTATAGCATCATAGAATACTTGGTGAATTCTTGTTGTAATAGTACTTTTCCTTACTCCTCCAATTAATGAATGGTGCGAGTATCAGGAGTATCTACATGGTAAATATAACACACATTCCTTTGGATAACGCCTTGAATTCCATGTCTTTCATAGTTTCATTTGCATTTTTTGTATTTTGCTAGCAATTTCCAATATAATCTACTTTCATCGTAATATAAACTTTGTATTTCTTTTAAATCCTTATGGATTGGATTAAAGGGATGAGTATAAATGTATCAGATTAGCGAGCATGTACATCTATATACAATTCACTTATTTCATTTCATTTCATTTTACTTTGTCTTTATTTAACAAACCATGATAAAAACATTGTATAAAATATAACGTATATAAATCTGATGGTATAAAAATAAATACAAAAAAATATTGATAAAACAAATATTGAGTGGTAAGTATTGTGATGTACAATAAAACATTTCGCGAGGCATTCTCAAAAAAGGCTTTTCGAAAAAGAGTAAGCTATGATCTTCAAAATCAAAAATTTGCAGCAAATACAGCATTCCTTATAGAAGAAGCAATCACAAACGGATTTGAAATTACAAATTATAGATGTACCTGTGCAGATACCATTACATAGGCAATTCAACATGACTACCCGTCTATCTATTACCATGAATGCAAACTTGGGCCCCCATTTTTTTAAGGCACATTCAATTATAGTACTTAATGATCACAGAGACTTTCAAAAAATAACATAAGGCAATTTCATTAGTCTTGTCCATCATCACAATTGAATATGTGAACATTACAATGACATATTACATGATATGAACATGGTTTATATGGGCTATAGAAGGAATGTTGAAATTCTCATGAGTTGATTTGTCCAAAATCTTTGTGATGATATTTTAAGTACTAAAAAGTGAATTATATCATCTTAGATCAGGCTTATGTACAGAATCATGCATGATACTTGTGAAGCCAATGCAATTACTGATTACTTCACTTCAAAGTGCAGCAATGTTTAATACTCCATTCATATTTCAGAAGAAGAAAAAAATATACATACAAATACCTATAAAACATCATGTTAAAAATACTTTCCTACAGATAGTACATTACATAGAAAATTATGCAAAACAAAGCATCATTACAATAGCAATAGGAATAGCAAATATTTTACTTCATAAACATCATTTGACTCATTGTCTACTGAAACCATGTGGTTCCTGTGTTATGCTTATGGGAACGAGTGAACTTTAGTGAAAACCAGAAGTCAATGGGTTAATGCATAGGCTTGAAAGAATGTGCTGAATATAGTGCAAACTCATAGTAGACATACATCAAAGTCCAACATAGCACTTTAACAGCGGCAAGTAAATTATAAGGGTATTTAAAGTTCAAAGTGCCATCCTAGAAATGTTACTATGTACATCAAGGCTCCAGCAATGGGGAACTTTGGCTATGCAACCATTGCACTCTCATATATATCTCATGCATATCATTTGAACAATGCAGTCCACAATTGAGAAGCATATAAATTGCATCTCATGACGTACCAAATAGGTCATCAGCGAGATAAATTTGACCAGCTTCCTGTAGAACATCCTTCAAGGCTTCACACACTTTGCCTTTGGGTTGCTTTTGTCTCCAGTCTCGGAGCATTGATAGTGTAACCATGTATGACGAATCTTTATTATCGTTGACATAATGTTGGATGTCTCCTGGTTGAAGGTCAAGAGCCTTCCCGAGATTATCTATATCAACACGCGTGGCAACTTTTCGAGCAACAGTGGTCAGCCTTTTTTCAAAGTCGTCCTGTTTACCTGAACGGTTCCTTAAATGAATCATAAAAAGGGAATTTTAGTATATATCTAATTACATGTACTGACAACAGGGGGAGGCGGCGTTGCAGAAAAATAAATCGTAGTCAATGGCTGCGTGTATACTTAAGCAAAAGATCGTTCCCGGACCCTAATTTGCTTGGAGGGGTTAATGCAACAGATATGGAATACTCCCCAGGGAGTAGAGAGGGTGCACATTGTGCGTGAATGAATCCGATAACCGGAGTAATATCTCTAAAGCGCTATTATAATTTTTGTTGTTGTTGATTAAGCACTACATATAAACAGATTATTATAATTGTTACATTCTTTTCCCCAAAGTCTTAATAATATGTCATTTTATGATTTAGATTTTTGATATGATATCACATGCACCATTAGCAACAGTGAAATTCAATTATTTATTTGCGAGCGAGCCTCAGAATGGTTTTAATTTATAGCATACTGACATCATTCAATTATCTCTATTGGGATTTAATTATAAGATATTTGAGCCCAGTTTCCCCTTCTCTTCATTTATTGAAGTTTTGTATTCGATTGCAAACTTACATTGCAAAGTTGAATATAAAATGCATGTCTACCAGTGATTGTCCTGTCTGACCTACTTGCAGGATCACTATTATTTTTTCATCCGGCTGGCTGCTCAGATCCAGGTTAAAGGACTTTGTCCACTGGTGTCCTATCTGCAATTCGTCATACTTGACAGTCTACAAAATAAAGAGCAAAGAATTACCACAAATATTTTTCTTTTATATACATATATAAAAATTGTATAAAAAGGTACATTTGTTGCATTTATTTGCAATATGTTGTTCGCTACTCATTGGTGATTTTGTGAAGAAATATGAACGTTGGTTTATCTTATGCACTAGTGCCCCTTGAGCATTTGATTTAAAGTGACTTTGGTGCCTTACTAATCTTATTTTATTATTATCATATTGTTATTACTATTTACTTTTTTAACTATTGCTATCACTATTATTAATATTATTTTTGTTTTCACTATCATTATCATAAAGGAGAACTTACATGTACGATATCTCCAATTCTCGCTACCCTAAATAGGTACGAAAATCTCGAAATTCGCGAGACGAGGTAATTTTCACTCTCTCGGGTCGTCACTACAACTTCCGGTATAGAGTCCCATCCCGCTGGCGCTAGCGCCTGTGTTCGCTGTGCAGAGTTTTCACGCACGCTAAAATCGATGCCAATCAGTGTAATTTGTACAGATTATAATATGCAATGGAAAGCTTCGGGCAGAATTAGTGACTTAAGCACAAAAGGCCGTTAAACTCTACCGTGAAAGAGAGGGTTGTGATCACGAACGCCTGCACAGGAAGCTGTAATGTCGAAAAGCTATCCCATAATGCAATGCGCGTTTTCAGGATTTTCCCCGGATCTCGGCAGAATCGCTATTTGGGGTAGCGAGAATTGGATCATGCTTTATGAAACAAGTCATTCTGACGTCCACTTCTGCCGCTCTGATAAGAACCTCTGCTTCAGGATGAATACAAGCTAAACCTATGCCTTCCTCCTGGGACACTATCTGTCACAAAATGATTCAACAAAATACAAAAATAGCTAATTAAAATTAAAGGGGACACTACCTAGTTTTCATTTGCAAAGTTTCTATGTTCTGTTATCTTTTGATCAGAAACTGGTATAAATGCATGCAAATATACAGTTAACTGACTTTTCATATTCATTTCCTCCAAGACCCCATAGCAAAGTACTATTTGATTCACCTATCAAATATAAACAATTCTATACGGGTTGATTCCACCTACATATATTCACTGTTCCTATGTCAGGCAACCATCTGTCAAAGCTTTCTAATCATCAAGAGTAAATGTACAAGTGGTCTATTCCACAGGTTATCAAACACCGAGCACGAGTGCATGTGCCAAACTATTCATCAGCAAACTGGGTGGTGACTTTGTGATGGGGTTTGAAACACCTTAAAGTTTACACACATCATCGTTAGGTTTTAATAATAGTTTTCAAGAGAATGTTAGTCCTGACATAGGTGAAAAATAATTGTAGGATTTGTATTTGTCTCATACTTCTATGAATAATACAATGGTGTCTCCCACATGGTAGGGAGTTTCTTTTTTCTCTTTTTTGTTGAAATTGCACAACTTGCATACATGTATTAGATTTGTTGGCATCAACAAAATGTATTTGCATCAACATAGAACAGTTAACTAATTATTATTTTTACTCTGCCAAAGACATTTAGATAATATTCTTGCCTTCATATAGATCCCTTTGATGTCATCATACAGATGTGCACGTAAGACGACAGGATTTTTTTCCTCTGGTAGTGGCTTTTCTGCAAATGGCAGGCAACGCATTCGCTTCCCTCCAAAGAAGACAGTCAACTTGAATCTGATGAACGCCCAAGAGAAGTGATTCATCTGCAATCTAAGTGTATCTCTCTCTATGTTGCAGTTAGGTATTCCAGACTGTGTTAATGGATTTTGTTCCTTTACCTCTGCATCTAATATGAACATATATGTAAGTAACTCAGTTTATTTATTTATATGCACGTACCAAGAATAATGCCATCATTTAAATTGAGCTATCTATTGTATGCATAATGTTGATATTAGAACCTACAGTAATTGTTTGGCTATTATACAATTTCCTTACATTCATATGAGAGGTACAAGAAAGGCTATGTAATTCATGCAATTAATCAATATTGTAAACAAAATAACAGGGTGCATGAAAAACCATCATTTAACGCAGGGTAGTCTCATCATCCTGTTCTCCCTGAAAGACCCTGCAATCAAATTATTACATGGGTTTAATCTAAGATATATATGCCTTCCCATGTCATCCTTAATTCAGTACATGTATGTCAGTATAACTAAGCAAGCTAAAGACGAACCAGAACATATAACTTTTTGCAAAAGTAAAGGTAATAAAAGCTATCATCGAAATGCTGTGATTTACTTTGGGAAGATAACCCTTTATTTAGAAAACTTGAAAGATTTACAATTTTATGGTTAACACATATAGCAGTGAAGTGTCATTTTAGTGATGTTTTATTTTCCTCTTTTGAACCACAATAATTACAAATTACACAAGAGCAGAAAGAGCAAAAATAACAGAAATTTTAAAGTATATTTTCCATGCAGTACATTGTTCAGTGTTTTTTTTATAGAAGCGATTTAAATGTAACTAATCATTAAAGTCTCTAAATTGGCTAGTGTTTTCTTTTTATTTATTTCACAATGGCTCATTATATATACATTTTCATATTTTTTCAAACTGTGAAGAATTGGAATTTGTTTCGTTAGTGTTGCCGATTTGAGAAGGGAAAAATATGAATTTAGAAAATAAGAAATCTATGAATTGATATAGGTTAAACAGCTTAAGTTGACATATTTGCAACTGTGCAGGAAGATACTTTTATGACTTACTATTTTTGTTTTCTTCATTTTTAAAACCAAACTTAAATATTCCCTGGCTAGTATACATGTATCTTTAGATGACAATTTTTTTTTTTTTTTTTTTTTTTTTTTTTTTTTTACTGTAGCACAAATTCAAAACTGGCGTAAGAAATAGTGTGCATAATTAGACATGTTAAGATGTACTTACCGGGTGACTATTCTCCCTCTCCCGTGTACAAGACTGCCTCCACACTGGAGTATCGTGTAATCACAGCACAGTGTGGTATTGTGTAAGTCACCGGTAATTTCAGGACTAAGTCATCAGGGGCTAAACACTGTACACCAAAGCAGACTGACATCTCTTCTTTGCTGTTGCAAAGATTAGGAGTATCTGTCAGGACACGAAGAGAAATGTCCTGCGGCGCTTCGCTGTCAATTGCACCGGGAGGGATCTCAAGTTCAATTCCAAAGGAATCTAGCTGAAGTGTACCACCTTCAACTCCAACTCTCTTACAACATTTCATCTTGATTGGTCTGACATGTACTTCATCTAGTATGAAAATCACAAGAGACATTTTCATTAAATCCTTTCTGCAAACAATAAAACACATACATGTAATTGTACTTCAACATTCTAGCAAAATACTAGATATAGGTTATAGAGCACTAAAGAGCAATGTCACTCTGAACTATCCTTTTCATGTCAGGAATAAGTGTAAAAGAAGTATATTCTTACCCATTTTTATCTTTTAAAGGCGTTTTTTTTTCAATTGTTGCTTTAAGATTCTACATTGTGGAAAAGATATATGAATTTTGATATAAAATCTTTGAGATTTAGCAATTTACATGAATGATGTTATTTTCAACTTAGGATTTAGAACAACTACCTTTTACCAATCTGTCATGAATATATTGTTATAATACAATGAAATAATGAGATACTGATAATAGAAAAATATTGTAATCTCCACAGTTTTTCTATCTTTTGCCAAACATTACAAAACTTTCTACTTGCTAGAATCACGCCTTATATCATTATATGGTAGGCCCATTTTCACTAAGAAACATCTCTGTTGGATAGTGTTGTATATTTTTTTTTACAGAGATTATGCCATCCAGCATCCACAGTCTTAAATATGTATATGTGAGCTTGTACTACTCTCGCTCTCAAGTCGTCGAATCATGAATACATTTTAAAGCATTAACCGGTAAAAAGTATTCAAATACTTTATTCTTTGTTTTGTGTCTCTGTCATGCCTGTCAATGCAATGGACATGAAACAACAGATAACGCTTGGGAGACATTGATTTTATTTCCTTATTCTCCAAATCAATTTCTGCTGATAATGGCCAAGGCACAACATTGACCTGGTTCATGGAGCAGGCTTTCCATGGCCATGTGATCCTCTTCTTCCTCCTCCTTTCCTTCTTCCTCAGTGTTCTGGGTTTCCGTCTGTTCTTCATGCACTTGGACCCTTGATGTGCCTCCAACAAGCTCATCTGTCAGATACAATCAGTCAATAACAGACTCAGAATATAGATCCCTTTCATTTAGGCTACTACTATAATGATTACAAATTCTATTTTCTTATAAAACAAAGAGCAACTTAAAAGTACACACAATGCATTTGTAATTTGTATGTAATCATGTAATTTATATAGGGATGTGAGATCTGTATTTCAAATTTTGATGTGTGACATACATCTTCAAAGTTTATGAATGAATCATGGTATTTACTACTACTATTTCAATATTCTTTTGTACAAATATTGTCCCCAAATATTGTCTGCCTGTATATCCCAACTAAAGGCTCATTTACATATGCCAAGGTCGATTGCGGTGGCTTTTTTTTATTGGGTACCCACCAGCTGAGTGTCCAGACAGGTTGGTTATCTGGACATCCAACCTTAAAATAAGCAAACAACTCTAAATGAAAGCAGACGAATCAAAAAAATAAACTAACGAAATTGGACAAAAAATAAGAAAATTGTAATTTGTTTAAGTTTAAGGCTCTTTAAATTTTGCTGCATCAGTAAAATCTATGTGATGTAGTGGCGGACAACCACCCATAAAGTGTTATCTGCGACTACATCATGGTTTATTGCCGTTTGGTCCTAAACCTAGCCCGTCTACTATCCACATGGTCTCATAATCATTGAATGTAATGAACATTTAGACCAATAGTTAATTGGTCTAATCTCAAATAAGTCTGCAACCCATTTGGTCTATTGCTCATTTAGTCTAATTCCAAGTTTGTCTAATGCCGATTTCTTCTACTATCCATAATGTCTATAATCATTTGATGATTATAATTATTTATGATTAACCCTATATAGCCCGGGCTATTTTGAAACTGCATAGCCCGGAGGGGGGGGGGGGCTAGCCCCCCCCCCCCCCCATGATCTCGGCCGTGAAACAACCAAATGCCGCAAAAATGTGCATGCATGTCAAGTGAAGTGTTTAGAATACTATGGTAATTTATTTTTTTTGGAAAAATTCATTCATTTGCATATTTATGGTGATATATGCAAATATGGTAATAATATTCACATTTGAATATTTAAACATTAATATTCACTACATATATTATTTAAACTATTTGGGATACTACAGCCAAACAAATTGAAAGAGCCAGGTAATTCCTTTGGTTATTTATTGTTTTGATAATTTCTTATGTATTTCTTTGTTTTTTTAACTCATGTATTTTATTGTTTTTGTTGTTTTATTTCATTTCCAATTATAATTCAACTATTTTGACCCCAAAATAAATACCTAAACTATAAACAAGACCAAATAACCAATGTTTTATCTCTTTATTTGAAAAATGAGATTTCCATATGTTTTGTACACAAATCACAAACATGAGCGATTTTCGGGCTGACATGCACAGACAAAAGGACAAGTGACTTTTACATGGTAGGTCCGATTTTCGAAAAATTTCTTTTAAAAGATGCGCAAGACTCGAAAGAAAAAAGTCAAAAAATTTCAGTACAAGATTTTTTGCGTTAAAAAGTTATCGTGAAAAAAGCCCCCCCCCCCCCGGGCTAGATAGGGTTAAATGAATATTAGAGCATATATTCACCCTTTCTCACAATCAACTGACCGAACTGCCAATTTAAAATTTACATAGACTTAGTTAACTCATATGTCAATGATTCATAATTTTCTTATTAATTGTCCAAATTTTTTCTAACTTTCGCCTTCTGTTTATTTCATTTTCCCGCTTCCATACAACAACAAAATTATTACAAGGACCGGATTGCCCTTTATAAGTATCTGAACATCTGCTCCCAAATCCTACTGATTATGGCGAGTGTGGATGCGGAACAATAGCTTGTGCAAAATGATTTATAGTATGTTTTCCAGGCACAAAACTGTAAAGTGCAGATAAGAGAAACAAAAATATGGTAAATCACTGCAGTATACCCCGGTATAATGAACAAGTCTTTCTGTCAGTACAAACATAAACATGTATAATATATTAAAACTCACCTATTGAAGAAGTTGGGGAGGGTGGAGAGGATGGGGAGGGTGGAGAGGATGGGGAGGTCTTCTTCACCGGCCTGAAAGGCATCACCGTACCCTGCTCAGAGTCTCCATGCGATGCCTGACTTTCATGTTCAACTGTGACCTTTACATTAGGATACATCTTCGAAAGTTTGTGGATGTCAGTTTGAGGCAACGGGCAATCCACATTTAAGAACTTGAGGTCTCTAAGTGAAATCTCTTCCCCTGTGCTCTGTGGTGGATGACTGATACTCTGAGGAAAGTCAACCTTGCACCTGTCAAATGTCAGGGCAGTTACTCCTTTGAGTTCATTCGAGACAAGATGCATTAGGTCAGCCATTGGTACAGCTGCTGATGCACCTTCAAGTTGTAGCTCACAACCTGAAGATGTTCGGGACCACTTAACAGAGGTAAGTTCTGCATCTCCTAGCTGCACCTTCTTTGCCTCAACAAACCTCAAACATGGACTTATCACATGACCTACATGTAATACATTCATTAATGTTACAAATCTGTAGCAATCATCCGTCCAAAATGGTTCAAGTTGAATGTTGGTCAGATGTGGCATCTTGCATGATATAATGTTTTTGCCTGACTTGTTCCATCGCCATCCTCCAAAGCCTGATAACACCAGTGATACGATATTTGGACAGGACGTAGAAATATCCATCAACAGGCTGTCCGTAGTGTCTTGATATGATGAAATACTGCCCTCACATCTTAATTTAAGCTCCCTTAAAGATGATGATGAATTGACCTCATGAAAGTATGCTTGTTCGGATGGAAAATGTAGCATATCTATTTGCACATCTACACTCTCTGCATTTGGAAAAAAATTACTGACAGCCAATAGTGCCTCATGGAGTGTTTCATAACACATCCGGGACTTAATGCAAACTGTGATGACAGATCTCATAAGCATAGGCGTAGGAATGTGGATAGATTGAAGTGAACGTATCACATGGAAATCAATGGAAAAATGCTTCACTGTCGGACACAATGGAGCCAGTATGGACATGACTTCTTGGAAGTGATTGGCATGATCCCATAGTACAAGATGAGTCTCATCATCGGTGCTCTTCCACTTGACTACATATAGCTCCAGTCCAGCATCACCCCTCATAATAGTGGTCTGCCCAGATTTCTCACCTGAATTAAAAAAGATAATTAAACAACCCATTTGTGTGGCCTTCCTATTCACAGGAAAGTACACTAGACATCATTATATAATAACTAATAAAAATCTTGTGGTGAGGTATTGATATAAAAATGAATAACATAATCATATAATCTATCTAGCATATCCTTCTAGTTGATAAACGCCCTTCATTCCACATAAAATGTTTACAAGACTGGTGGCCTTCATTATTAAAGGTAAATTGGAAAGACTTTTTCAACAAGCACTATGATAAATTTAATTTAAAATGGGGGGGGGGGGGTGTAGATCAGCACTGTAAGAGTTCAAAGATCCCTCAAATTATATCATTTTTCTTTTCATCCTGATCTCAAATATGGCTCCATCAAGCACATGTTGTAAATTAAAAGACTAAAAGCTATACAGATATAATCATACTGAATTACTGAATGTTGCAGATTAATTCTTATTGTATTTCTTATTTTTAGAACATTTTGTAAACCTAATTTGGAGAAAAGGGGAAAATACTTACATGGACATACAGTACCTCTGTTTAATAAAGGTTTATGTATTCATTTGGTAAGCTTGACATCCCAAAACTTTTATCAGATGATTTTAAAGCAATAACAATGCAATACATGGTACATTTAAAGCTTTTTTTAAAGGTTTCAACACCGTTGTTTTCGCGTAATGATTTTGAATGTTATCTGATATTTGTTCACATACCTTCTCTTCTCGGCCTGAAAGATGTATCTCGGACAGTCAGTCTTTGAGTGTGAAGTAGAACTCCTTCCAACTCCTTTGACTATGAAATGTAATTGGAAAACATGAAAAGGTCTGACAACATATTTCTCTACAAAGAGCCTACACCCAGAATTGATGTAAATTTATATTTTAATAACAAACAACATTATTTTGTCAACTTTCTCTTTGATTATTCCAAAGCAAGATGGCTAGAACAACTCCAAAAAAGAAGCAAAATGAAGAAATAGGACCTCAAACATTTTAATGGAAGGCATAGATCTAGATGCCCGTCGTGTATAATTTATTATCCATGACTTTCCTTGATGGGTTCATTACGTCATATAGCATATTGTTTTAGTATGCGAAAATCATTTTTATGCAATACTCTACATTTTACTAAATTGGTCCAAATACAAAGTTTTCAGCATTTTACCTACAATGTATAATATATGTTTAAATTATTGTAGCATCTACATGTACATGTATGTGATTTTATAATTCCTTGATTTGGTTTCTGTTGTTGTCTCTGTTTCTGTTATTGAAGAAAAGACCATAACCATACCATACCCATCTGGCAATGCATTTTCCAACCATAACATTTAATTCCTTCGAATTTCAAACAAATTTATTTCTATTAATATACCGTGCGTCCCAGAAAAAACGAAACCGAGAACTATCGATGTTTTATCATAACTTAATCACAATTATAATTAATAAATGACACATATTTGGAAAGCTTAGATCCTCCTCTTTCATTTGATGCAACTCATATGATGCATATTTCACGCATGAGTGATTAAAAGCAATTTGAAGAGAGGAAACCAAAAAGTTGTTTGGCAGGCGGTATCTGAATTTCAAGGAGAAAATCACATTTCTAGAAGGTTCAATTTCCGCCCTTTCATATGACACCTCAATCAGGAAAAATGAGCCAGGAATAACAAAGTTATGTTTGTTTAAAAAAATGCTTGCATTTCCATAATTTGATCAAACGGGTTCGTTTTTACTGGCTGCCTGCCGTTGCATCGAATAGAGCTGAAATGAAACATTTGCAAGCCTATGCCTATGCACGCACACCATGCATGCTGATATAGGCAAGGCGCTGCGTGTACGTACGTGTGTGAAGCCCAGAGCTTCGCACAGTTTTGAATTTCTCTTTAGCACGCGTAAAGCTTGTTATTGACAAGATGAGCTCTGATTGGTTGTATGCAAATGAGTTCATGCTGGGGGTCCCAAACTCAAGTGGAAAAAAAATTACGCAGCCGGGAGCAGGTGTCGTTAAAATACATTTATATATTATATGTACAAAAAGAATTGCAATCTCACTACCACAATGTTATCATGCATAAATTATGTTTTACATATAATTTTACTTTGTCACCGATGTATACTTTGTAAAAGAAACTGCAATTCGGCTCTCGGGCCACAATTTTTTTTAAATGAAATAAACCATTTAAAGTACCGTAAATAAATAAATACATGATTTTTCACACAAATGCGTTTTCTATTTCCGATTGGGCTGCTGTGATTAACCTCATGGCTCCTGGGGGAGGGAGGGGGCTTCCGGTGCCCCCTAAATGATTTAATATTGGTTGACTTGAAAAGTATGTTTAGTATAGCACACTTCTAAATGTCCTAAGAAATAAAATCATCTCACTATATTCTGATGCTCTTAAAATTTTATGTTAAATTTGGGCCTTTACAATCAAATTATGGGTACCTGAGACATATTTCGCCATCACGACCTCATAACTACAATGTGCCATTGCATTTTGATATGGAAACAGATATTTTCTGTGCTCCCATTACCTCAAAAATTAGTTTCAAGCGGCCTTCTATTTTTGTGAGTAGCAGGACAATCACCCCCTGGAAAATACCCCCCCCCCCCCCCCCCCGGAACTTTTTCCCTAGGACAATTACACCCACCCCTCAAAATTATTTGCTCTTCTTTGGAGGTGTTTTGATATGCCTACATATGGACATAGGAAGATACAAAGAATCAAATCTTCTTTAGCATACCAACAGAATAAATGGACTTGGGCAATAATGATCGATGACTACAAGTTATGCATACAACCCTTGAGTGATCGTAATGTTTCTTTTCAAGATCTGTGAAGCTTGATCATATGAAAAAAGTTGAGGACGGATTTAAAGGCATTTATAAAGCATGTGATCATGGGATATTGAAGGTATGGGAAATTAGTGTTTTGGAATTATGAACCTTCAGAAGAATATAATTTTGGAAGTAACCCCCATACGATCATATATCTAAACATTGTGCCGTGTATCTAGGTACCAAAAGAGATCATTGTTTTCCATGGGGAAGACTGATTTTTCTGACAAGGCAGACTACACAAGCATAACAATCAAATACATGGATTAGGAAGACAATGATAGATGGCTACAATTAATTTGTGCATACAAACCTCGCATTTTGTAGTTGCGTAACCAGATGAATCTTGGTCGGCTGTCTTAATTATCTGAAAAGAGTTGAGGAAGAATTTAAGAGCATTTATAAAGCATGTGATCCCAACAGGACATTATGTCCCATAAGAGGATTGTTTTGGAGTAGTTTCCCTAAGGGGAAATTAAAGGTATGGGAAATCTGTTTTAGAATATATGAACCTTCAGAAAAAAAAACCGTTGAAAAGACAACCACTATATGATATATCTAAACATTGGGCCTGGTATCTAAGTACTGAAAGAGATCATTGTTTTCCATGGGAAAGACTGATATTTCTGACAAGGCAGATTACAAAAGGTTTTAGCCTTCTAATTAAATAGCTTTCACAGCTTTAAAATGAAGGCATTTTTTAACACAACAATTATGGCAATGAAAGACCTTGCCTGTTTATATAGTAAAAGGTCATGTTGGGTATAAACTTTGACCCGAAGTAAGAAATAGAATTGAAAGTCTCAAGCAAACAACCTTGGATGGGCCAGCCAGTTTTGAAGTTGAATCATCAGACCTTTCTCCTACTTTATGCTCTATCAACTGAAAAGAAATTAAAGCATATTTATATTAAAATGTAGCTTCCTTCCAACTTTATTTATATGTACGAATGAGAGTTTAAGCATGTCGATGTCTATTGGTAGAGGTCAAAAATTAGCTTGTCATAATCTCAGAAAAGTACAGATAAAAAACAGAACGCTCAGCATAAAAGTTCATTGCCTCACAAATTATAATGTTCAGAACTTCAGGCCCCTCCAAAGTCCATGAATTTAATTCGATTTGCACTACATGGTAATGGATATTTTCAGATGCCTTTCAAACTTGAAAAGTTGTATAATCACTCCTGGGTTACTTCTATGACCCAAACCAAGAGAGTTGAGATAAAACAGTTGGTGTAATATCTGGTTCCATTCACATACCTTGGCCTGCTCTATAGGCTTCATAGCTGAATCGTCAGCCATCTTTGATATCTACCAGATAACCTGCATGGAGGATAGAAATAGAAATCAGGTCGACAGAGAGTGGTAAAATCTTGGACTATTGTTTCTGCCAGGAAGAGCACTTGTCAAGCAAGAAGATGCAGAGAATGTCCTAATCTTATTTTTGTCTGATTCGATTAGTTTACAGGTACTATGTCCCATTTGCAGGCCAAATTATGAAAAGGTTAAATTTCAACAGCAATTTGAAAGATACCCGGTAATATTAATTTAGAGCTTGTAAATTCTTGAAGTGGAATAAGAATGACTATTAGTTGTTGAATCGACTTAAGTGCTACCAAGTCAGTATTAAGTAATAGTCTGATTTTCAGACCATTGTACCGAATGGTCGTACATTTTGTGCTGCGCAAAGATTCAACCAGTTTAATTTTGGCTATTACAAGAAGTGGGTTATTGATGTAGACAAATGCTCATGTACCCTTTACAGCTCATTTTATATATGTTATTAACAAATAAGCCAATCAGTCACTTAATGATATGTCTGACAGTAAAGTCTAGCTAGTAAACGGTTTCCTTGCAAAATTTAAATACTAGGACACTGCTAACGTTTAAATATCACAGATAGGACATACCGGGGTAGGTCTACATGACATATTCATTTTCATTTGATGTTGGCTGCAAAAGGGACATAGTCTAGTATCTTTAAAGGGAAATTCCACTTTCGAATCAACTTTGGAATCAAGTTGACTTAAACAGAAGCATGCAATGTATTTAAAATAAGAGAAGCAGGTCTGTGACATCCATTTTGAGAAAAATCAAAAAAAATGTACTCACTTCTTAACAATGTTCTGGGTTTCAGAGTTGCCATTGATCAAACACATATTGGCATTATATAACATGTATATCAGAAATTATTGTAGGCCTATGTTCATATTGACATTATGTATGATAACATCATCATAATGTAAAGGCTTATCATTTCAAAATTGCAGTTTTCCGGCAAATACTTTTTGAATTCTCGTAAATTACATCAAAGTTTTATAAGCCAAACGTCATAGGAATGAAACTTACAAGTTAGATATGTTATAAGCTGTTATTAAACCCTAAACGAAGGGGGGGGGGGGGGGAGGGGAGGCAAATTTCACAATTCTTTCGTTTTCTTTGTATTTATTTGTGTTGTTGATTCGACTTCATAACATGTGAAGTAGAATATCATTTTGCATTCTGCACCTTGCTTTAGTGCTGTAAGTCGGACGCTATGTTCGTGTTCGGTTCGGTTCGGCAGAGTTCGGCAATTTTTCACCCGAACTTGGTTCGGTTCGGGGTTCGATAATATAATAGCAATCAGCATTATAGCCACGGCGGTCGGCACTGGGCGGGCCGCCCGCCCTGCCGTGCCCGACCAGCACGGAGGACTTCTGCACACTGCTTCCCACCAGCAAGAATTTCACATTAAAAAACTGCTCTAAACGTAATTATTTGCGAAGAAAAATACTATTTACATTCATATTTCCGTCTTGAATCGTGTTTTATTTTCAATTTTAAAAGAATCATGTTTTCAATTTGTTGATAAATTATATTTTATAAAGATTTTCAGAGACGGTTTTTGTCTAATGTAAGAGTCATGAAAGCTGCTATCTTGAACAGAGACTCAGGCTCGTCAATAACTGCTTTTTTATAAGTTTTTATTTTCAATAGGAAAAATATAAAATCCCTATATTTCCTAGATAAATAAATACCATACTAGAATATATATTTATTTTATTATTTATATTATAAAATTTGTCCGATATTGTTACAATTAAAATATTATTTTAGAGTGGGTTTGAGCTGAACCTGTTTTGATCACGCACATGTATTCTCGTTTATATGGCTTGCGATCGCGACGTAGCGTGGTCAGGATTTGGGATTTAAATGGCGCCAGTGAAGTTGCGCCCACCACTGGATAGGCATAAATCACAAAGGTGGAAAATGGGAAAAAAGTAAATATAAAATGAGCAACCGTGAAATGAAAATTAGGTAAAAATGACAAGTTTAGTAGCTTGCAAAAACGTTTACATTTTTCTGCCGAACAACCGAACCAGGCCTTTGCGTTCGGTTCGGTTCGGTTCGGTTCAATTCGGAAGTGCCATGTTCGGCAAACTTCCGTTTGGTTCGGCGGTTTAGCTACAGCACTACCTTGCTTTCAGGGGAGTAGATTATCTCAATCACAAGAAAGAAGGAAAAACATGAAATTTGATGTACAAAAGGCAAGGAGAGTTGTCCATACATGTAAATGACGCATCAAATTGAATATCGCCCTCTACTGACTAGTCATTTCAAAAAGCTTTAACTTTCTTATTCCTTGCCCGATTTTGTTAAAAAAATTTCACTGATTTTATTCAAATATCTTAAACTTTACAATAAAAGTAACTTAGAATGAAGGACTTGGTTCCCTTTAAATTCGAAGCCACTACTAGAGCGGATGGGCCAATGAGAGCTTGCAAACCCACTGTAGTGTACAGCGATCAATGCGCAAAGTTCTTCATGCTTACAGTAGGTGCATGCAAATCCACTCCAGCAAAACATAGAGAGTCAATGCTAATGTGTATTGACCTATAGCACAGCACTATAATACGTCTTGCAAGATTTTTAACATGGATTTCGATTTTGACCCATAATTTCCTAAACAGGGACCATTAAACTGATTATTTCAGTCCAGTTGGTAAGTGGAACCGATTTATTATAGCCTAGGCCTAATTTACAATATTAACATGCACGAGGTAAAATGACATTTGGGGGGATTTTCGGGGCATAAAAATATGGCCATAAATGGCCATGGTGTTAGCAAGGGAATGCGTATAGGTCTAGTCGGCTTCTGACTGTTCTGTCTCTATTAAAAGAGAGAGCCGACCCTACCCCAATAAGAGGCTAACGAACAAAAGAGACGGAAAATTCGGTCTATGATTCTATCTGCTTTCATTTTCCGTAAAGATTGAACGTAAACACAGACCTCACCTTAAGTTGACTCGAATCTTACTGCCACAGACTCAATAAATCAGAAGACCAAGCCAAGATGAACAGTCGTCTAGACCTAGGCTCCTAGTCCTACAGCATGTGCTACACATCGCATCGCGTTTACAAATATGGCGGCGGCAATGAATACAATCTAGATCTATAGTGGCGAAAACGGGAATTCCCCCTTCTACATTGGAAGGCTAGGCGCATGCACGGAGTTCGCTGACTCCCTGCGCACACGCCTTTTTACACATCAATATTGAGCGTTGAAAAGTATTAATTGGTGTACAAAATATCTTTAATTTTTTAATTATGATTAATTATGTCGGTCAAAACAAATCTTTTTATTCTGGATAGTCTCAATAATCATAATGCTATTGAGATATAGAGGGATAGATTGTCATATATTTTGTAATGATTTCATTAAAAGAGGACAATACTAACTAAAAAAAATGCTACTAAAATAAAAACAGTATTGTTTACAATGGGTCTAAAATGGTCCCTTCTATATGAAGAGATAGAGCGGTTGCATGAATGAGATAAACTTTGATCAACATTGGCGATTTTAAAACGCAATTCTTTATCACAACCTTTTCATTGCTAAGTCGCAGTCGACCTCGAATGGGTAAAGGAACATATAATTTCCATTAAAATGGAATGGTGAGTATATTGTTATATACACAGGGGCGTAAATCCCGGGGGGGGGGGGGGATGGGGGATGCATCTCCCCCCCCCCCCCTCGCTTGAAGGAGGGGGGGGGGGGTGGCCTGTACAAATATCCCCCTCTGAGATTACAAAAAAAAAGAGAGGAAAAAAAAGGAAGAAGAAGAAGAAGATGTGTTTATAACTGTATAGCCTACACGTATACAGTTTGTCACGATCATTAGGAGTAGTTGCGCGACGTGCGCGAACAAGCTCTTCATAAACTTCAGAATAATTTTTCGTTATTTTGCAAGGTATTATTATAGCACAGAGAAAGCTTCCGCGCTTTGCGCGAGAGGGGGAAAACTGAATTCAGACAAGGATTAATTGTCGCGAACGGTACAACGAATCGTCTGCTTTCTCTAATAATTTAAGGAAACGTCAAAGCTTCCGCGCTTCGCGCGAGAGGGAGAAATTGAATACAGATAAATAGGGCTTATTAAGAGTAAAAAACGGTACAATGAATCGTCTATACTTTCTCTAATAATTTAAGGAAACGTCTAACTTCCGCGCTTTGCGCGAGAGGGGAAAAACTGAATTCAGACAAGGATTAAATGTCGTGAACGGTACAACGAATCGTCTGCTTTCTCTGATAATTTAAGGAAACGTCAAAGCTTCCACGCTTCGCGAGAGAGGTGGATTTGATTTCAGATTAATAGGGTTTATTAAGAGTCGAAAACGGTACAATGAATCGTCTACTTTCTCTAATAATTTAAGGAAACGTCAAAGCTTCCGCGCTTCGCGCGAGAGGGGGAAATTGAATTTAGATAAATAGGGCTTATTAAGAGTCGAAAACGGTACAATGCATCGTCTACTTTCTCTAATAATTTAAGGAAACGTCAAAGCTTCCGCGTTTCGCGCGAGAGGGGGGGGGGGAGACTGAATTCAGATAAAGAGTCGAAAACGGTACTACGAATCTTCTTTCTATAATATTAAAATCAAACGTCTAAGCTACAAGGAGTAAGAGTCGAAAACTGTTCAACGAATCGTCTTCTTTCTCTAATAATTTAATGAAACGTCAAAACTTCTGCGCTTCGCGCGGGAGGGGGGGGGGAACTTCATTGAGACAAACTAGGATTAAGAGTCGAGAACAGTACACCGAACCGTCTGCTTTTCTCATAATTTAATGAAACGTCAAATCTGAGACATGTTTTCTGTACAAGCTTTGCAATATCTGCAACAGCGCCCTCTAATGCAGCTGATTTTTTTTTTTTGATCGAGACGATATAGTAATACATTTTCTACCCCCTATACATCTGTCGTGGAGACTGGAGTCTACTGCTGAAAAGTCTTTTTGAAAGGCATGCTTTATTGCAATACAACAGTGGGTACTTCTCCTTGAC